TAATATAAGTATTATATTTACCATTTTCTTGGATCCGATTTGTGAACACAGTAGAAATAGGTACTTTATATAAATTTTGTATTATTTTTGAATTGTGTAGAAGTGAAGTGCACTTTTATTTATTTTATTTATTACTCGTTATTTGATTAGATATTATAGGATTATCACTTGCAATTATAATTTATTAGTATATTTTTATATACATTTTATACCTATTATAATTCATAATATAATAACCTTTTTTTTTTCTTTTAAAAACCGGGAACGGGTGGGAACTGTTAAGCATAATACTGCCACCCGATCCCATTATATTATATTATACCTACAACCTACATCATCTGTCTTGTATTTTACAAATATGTGATACATTTATACACATCAAGGACCGAGTGCTTTACTCAAATAAGATAACCTTGATCTTAAATTCGTTAATATTATACATCGATGTCGAGTCCCCGAGATAGGTAATTATAAATAAATAAATAAACAAACTTTGTCACAGGGAACACGTCGAATTGTAACGGCCGGTGAAGAGGGGAAGTCACAAACGTTATAGTAATTCCGGCATGGTTATAGTGTTAAAATCGGACCCGTAATGATAATAATTATACACCGTGTCGTTTAGAATTTAATGCTCATGATATTCCACTTGTAGCTGATAACTTGTTACCATCATTTTAGTGGCTGAATGGAGCGGTGAAAATGACGTCTGTTTTATTTTTATACTAATCAACACCTTTTGGAGCAACAAAAACGTACAGATTTTCAACTTAGGATTTTTTTCTGGTAAGAAAGTAAATCTAGTAGGTATTTCGAGAGCTAAAAGTAAAAAATCCTTGTACTTTCTTAATGATCAGGAAAACAAAAATTTGGCATAAACGAAGATTTTATTAATTGTAATAAAATACTCCTACATTTTATTGCACTTAAACACTGAATAACAATAGTATTTGATATGAAAAAAAAAAAAAACATTATTTATGTATATAAAATAATATGTTTATGAATAGATAATTAAATACTATTAATTTTATGAAAACGTTGATTTTCCTGTACTCCAATAAAATATAATTGAATGGTTCGATGTTTAAACGTATTACAATTTTTCTATACAATTTTTACCAACCGGTCGAATAACGCGCTTTATCTTATTAGTAATTTTTATTATATTTATGTAGTTGTAATTAATTTTTTGAACAGTTTATTGTTTTCACACTCTCTCGCTGGTCACCGAGGCTGCGGTAGCGGTGATATTAAAAATCTTTGAAAACCGGTCGGTCCAGAATCGAATTAAACACGCGCGTTTTGATAATCAACTGACGTGACGTTATTATTGGACTATAGAATATTATTATCCCCTGACGGCCGTGCAGCGAACCCGTGGTCGATTGCACACCGTCAAAATACGTAGTTGGCCCCCGTTCTGCAGACAATGCCGAGATTACGCGTGTGCAATGTATATAATGTATACATATATACAGAAGTGGTATATACACGGTACCTATACAATAAAAATAATAATAACAGTACTAACAAGCAACAACAACGATGTGTATCGACGGACCGGTGGTCTGAACGACTGAACGGGCTTGAATATTTTGGGGTGCCACTTTTCCACTGAAATTGACTTTTAATTTGAAGCCGTCAGACCGTGATAAGCCTCTATATACTCGGCACTCGGTGGGCTCATCGCGCCTGGAGACCTCTGTATATAGAGGTATACTGGGCTGCGAACAAGGAAATTGGATGTATGTGTGATAAAAGAAGAGTGAGAAAAAACAACATTTATTGTGTGGTGTGGAATTTAAATGACAATTTTCCGGTGAAAGCGCATCAATGCTGTGTTAACTGCCGCGTGTTTATATCATATGCAATACTACAAAACACTTGAATGTGACCGGTGTACATTATAACCGTTGTATTATTTTCGTAAGAATAAAAAATAAATATAATCCCTATATAGGCAGTCTCTATTGAATATAAAAAACGTGGTTTATAAAATGTATGTAAAATATGTATATGTATATCAATGTGAATAATCTGTACAAAGTAGTACATTGTGTATGTATACATATATTGAACAGTACACATATATGAACTGTAAAAGTTCTAATATATTATATACATTTAAATAATGTGATTGTATAATTCAGTACATGCATTCAAATATTATTTGTTAAATTTATAGTATGAAAAAGACGTGTCGTTAGCAATTATTGAGGCTATTTGAAATTTAAATGTTTACTTAGTATAAGCTAAGATCTTTTTAAGTTAAACATTTTTTTTTATAGCGTTTTTTTACATTAAAATATTGTTTCATGTCATTATTGTTGCATTGATATTTAATATAATGTAAAATCGATATCTACCAAGGTGTATTAATTATAATAGTTTTAGAATAAAGAAGTGTAAACTAGCCACTAGGTAGGTAGGTACATTGTGCATATGATATTTACTTAAATGTTTTTTAAATGCTTCAGAGGTATTTTATTACTAAGTTCATAATTAGTTTTTAATTAAAAAAAAGATTAGCACCCATTTATATGTACAATCAGGATCTTTAATAAAATAATTCAAATTTTTGTTTTTGTTACAGAGACCTTGATAATTAGAACTTGACATTTATTGAACAAGTGAACATGATTAACTATCGAAATTAATAAGTATAAATATCTAGAAAACATTAGTTAAAAAAAGATTAGACAACAATTTATTTATTTAACTGCACTGATAATAAATAATAGTTTATAAGACATGTTGTACAGAAAATATATGGAATGAAAATAAGAGAGATTCAATATAATATAAAATAAGGTAGTAAGAAATTTATGGTTTTCTTCTCGTAAATCTATAGATACGGAGAAATAAGTTGAAGTTTTGTTGTAATTAATCAATATTTTATATTAACTAATTTTATTAATAGGCACTTAGAGTATTGTAACAATATATTGTACTTCCACGTTCTTTTGAATGAATGTCATATGTTTTAGTTGATTTTATCGTAATTAAACAATTTTGTATATATTTTCTATTTTACTGTACGTAAAAACGATTCAATATAAACTTTGTAATAGTTTACGATGTAAATACAGCATAAAGAATGACAAGCGTCATGCAGTATTATGTTTATAATTGAAAGATATTTCTTATGCAAAATTAGTAAGACAACATAATCATATCCCCTATTAAAATATACATTGGAAATATAAAAACTTTAAATACAACTAAAAAATCATGCTAAAATATCTACAACAATAAGCCAAGTCAGAGTTTTTTTAAGGCAGTTAGTGATCTTTTGGTTGAAGTTTTAATCAGCATATCAAATAAAAATCCAGTTAAATTTGTTATACAAAATCAACATATAGTAATTTTAACCTTTCTAAATTTACATGCTTAGAACATTTGAAAATTGAAGATAAATATAATAGATTTTTTTGAATAATAATAATAATAATAATATATAGCTGTACAGTATACATATAAAATTTAATTGAAGGCAACTTTAAAAACCTTGTATTAAATTAAACTCTTAAATACAATCTAAATTTTACTTATAATTAAAATTTTCTTTATAAAATTGAACAAACAGTTTTATTACTGCTTTATATTGTTTGTTAAAACGTAAGATAACTTCAATTTACGAAGCATGTATATGTTTAAAACTATTTTTGAAAAATAGGGCTAAAATAATTAGGGAAAAATATTAAAAGTCATTCAAAAACATATTAGACTCCAAACATTATGTGAACGTTTTAATAGTTCGGAATTAAGTGTTGAAAAGTTTTTAACTTAAGTAAGAAATAATATAGGGTTTACACGGTAAAAGTTATGAGGTTAAGGATATATTTTTCATTTTGAGTCATTATATTTTTAATATGTTTGCAATGTAATATTTTTTTTTTGTTTATTGTTTAATATTTTTGTAGATATACAATTTTTTTTACTTATAAATGCATTGATTATTTATATACTATTATATATTATGGTTAATAATTATTGATTTTTTTATAATAAGTATGTATATTTAAAAACCAATAATATTGAATATTTATCGAACTTTTTTTTACCGGACTTTTAGATAGAATACCGGTCGATCAGGACAACTGTTCCCCTAGGGCCGTGTACCTATATTTATTTTAATAATTCATAATATGTATTAAAAAATTATATAATCTGTGATAAGCCATTGTAGACAGTCTTCGTTTTTCGGAAAAACGGTTAAAAAACAGTTTTTCTTGTTCCGTGGTACTCAATTCACTCCCTCCCCACTCGAAGTCACTTCAAAACGGCTACTGAAGTATAGGATAATATATAAGATAATATTGTATTATTTCTAATATTATTAAATATATGTATATATATATATACCTATATATTAGTAGGTTAGGTAATAAAATTATGTACACCGCATACAATCATTAAAAGCATGATACATTATATTATGTTTACATAGCTACGTTCCGCGGTTCGTCATTAAAGTACGTCGTATATTATTATCGTGTACATCTACATATATATAGTTAATATACACGTGCCAAAGACCGCCGGCAGAGACGACGAAGACTTCGCTATCGTTGCGTGTATATATATATATACATATACATATATATTTATAAATCGTGGCTGCTTAATACTCAGATAATAATAATATCATAATGTATATCGCGGCGATATGCGAAACGCGCATGTGTATTCTGTGGGTAAGTATATAGTGATAGTCGGACGGCGTGCAAGGGGGGGGCGGGGGCGGCGAAGGGTTCGGCCGCCAGAAAGCCAGTCCTCCCCGCACTCGCCGCTTCCGTCTCGCCAACCACCCCGGAGCGGAAACGCAGGGAGCGAAGGACGAGAGAGGCGACGTGCCGCCGTCACTCACCCAATGGCGCGGGCCTGGCGGCGGATCGGGGGGCGTGGCCCGCGGGCAGTCCGCCGCGTACACGCCCGTTCGGCGAACTATACAGGACCCGCGGCAGAGCCTTCTTCCGCAGGACAACGTCGTCGTGTCGACCAGTCGATCGCGCGCAACACGTCCGGTTGACGACGGCGGATCCCGATGCACACACGTCTCCGCAATTTAATATTATTATTATTATTATTATTATCATAATGTTCTGACGGCGCGATACCACAACACACTGTACCTATCGCATGATATTATTATCATATTATTATTATTATACCGTCAGGACGTCGTTCCGGTAATCGCGATCCGCTACGCTCGTTTTGCGTGTGTTTTTTGTGTTTGTGTGTGTGTGTGTGTGTGTGTGTGTGTGTAGAACGATGAAGATATCATAAAGCCGTCGTCGCATTATCTTACGGTGGTGTAAACACACACCGCATCAATCGTTTCGCGTGCGTTACTGCAACCCGTTTGGAAAACTTCGCTCGGAAAACGGTTTTTCGCCCCCCCCCCCCCCCCCCCCCCCGTCCGTCCGTGATATTATAACTTGGCAGCTATACCGTTGGCCGCGGCGCGTCGACGGTGTACCGGAACTCGATTTATCCAATAACACACCGTACACGGTACATATAGGCCTACCTCGGACAGGGGTATACTATGATGATGTTGCAGAACCCGCTGTTCCAGGAGTACAACACCGCTCTGTCGCAGTTGCTCGAGCTGCACCAACAGCAACACCGGTACCACAACCACCACCATCACCACCACAACCACCATCAGCAACACCAACAGCACCACACCAACAGACAACTGCAGCTGCACCGCGCGCCCGGAAACGGATCGTCCGCCGCCGCGGCAGCAGCCGTCGCCGCCACGGCCGCTGGAGTTTTCCAGAGTTACGCGGGCGGCGTGAGGACGGCCAGCCGGGACAGCGCCGAGTCGGACGGGCTGAGCTCCTCGTCGCCCAGACCGTCCAAGCCGTTCACCATCGACGCGATACTCGGGCTTCAAGCTGGCGCCGTGGGCCAGTCTGCCTCCGTGACCGCCATGGACCCGTCGAACGCGGGCCCGGTCACCGCGCTCGACTTTTCCACCGGTTCGGCGGCGGCGGCGGCTCACGGAAAAAAAACTCCGCGAAGGTAATACCGAATATTATACAGTTATTATATAATATATCACATGGTCGAGACCACACTGTAATTGTTTTGTGGCGAATTACGTATTGGGTTGACTTTAATTATGATTATATTATATATTATGGTCTACGCACTTATGTCTGTGTATATATAGTTACTAAACTATAACTATATGTATATATATTGTGTTATTAGTAGGGCTCGAAAGTTGTAGGAGTATAGGCACATGTTTTCTATACAATATAATATGATCTCGATTTATATTAGCAGACCGAGCAAAATATTCATTATACGACCAGCTTGAAAACTAAAAGCCAAAAACACGCATTATATATTTATATTTCGTCAAATTAAAAAAGAAAGTGGGTATTTTAATGCATTATGGTATGTTTTCTAAAATAAAATCAATACTTTGATTATATGATTTACGTATTTTGATATACATCTTCACAAATACTGAATTTATACTTTTATTAATATTATTTAGATACCGATAATATTTTTTCTGTTTAATAATTATTATTAACATCGCTAATCTGGAACTAGTTCTTTTATTTAAGTTTTTAATGTTTTTAAGAAATTTTAAATATAGTGATAATAACTAACAATATAGCATCGTTAGTTAATAATAATTAGTTTTAATTTTAGTGTTTTTTGCGTATTTTGTATATTTTAGCTCCTATAACTTCTGATCCTTAGACCTCAGTATTATAAAAATACGCATTACATATACATATTATATACATATACCACTACCAGTTCTATGCGCATAGAATGATGCATAAAATTTACGATAACTTATATTTTCCATCGCAGAAGGAACTATCTTAATTGTATTTAATAACTCAAAAACTATTTTGTTTTAATTTTGTTGTCTTTGTGTGGATTCACCCTAAACAAATATCCAAATGTTAATGTCAATTATATTTTATATATTTATATAACCGACACTACAGTTATACAAAGCAACAATAGTACTATAATTTTATAATGATTATTCTAAAATATTCGATGAGTTGTTTTGTACAAGAATGATTGTATTAAGTAGGCAAAACCTAAATCATGTTTAGACTCTTGTAAGAGTAGAATGAATATTCGTTCAACAGATAGGTACACGTTCTATGGTAATAACAATATTTTATAATTAATATGAAGTATCATTAATGAAAAAAAAAAAAAATAACAAATAAACGTTATAATACGATACCGACATGGCAACATATCTTGCGAATAACATAATTACGCGCTACTGAATCAGTTAAAATTTAGTGTCCTTTGATCTTATCGATTCAACACTAAATGCTTTTATTGATCCATTTCTATTTATGAACATAAAACGTGTATAATGTGCGTTTGGTGTATTCGATATTATTTATAAATAATAAAATTATTTCATACATAAAAATGTTATAAATTATAAACTAGGTAATGAAATATTATTGTGAATCTCGACGTAAATATAAATAATACTATTTTTTTATGTTATAAAATAGATACATAAGTGTGGTGGAGGATTCCTTTTTCGTATTATTTTTCATCAAATTTTATTAAAATATACAATATTTTTATTATTATTATTAAAATTGAAATAAGTACGCGTTAAAAAGGTATTTTTACACTTCGTCATGGTTGCAAAATTTATAGTTATTTGTGTTGTGTTATAGGCATTAAAGCAATATAGTTTGCTTTAAATTATAATAATTTAATATTAATTATTATAATATTTAGATTTTAAAAATAACATTTTGCTTATTTTATGATTATGCTATATACTTTATAAATGATCATTATGATACACGCGATGGTTGGTTATTTGTAGTTATAAAAATGATTTTTTTTTTAATTATTTATAAACGCTGAGATAATTAATTAACAATGACAATGAATGGAAAACTGTTACTACACAGTACAATATAATACATAATTTATATTATACTTTATTTATTCATAAACAGTAATTAATAACGCAATTTATTAAATAAAAATTGTCTATGTTTTTTCAGTAAACTCGTTAATTATTGTTGAAATAATTATACCTATAATACGGGTAAACTATGGCTTTATCGGTATATATATATAGTTTATTGATACCTATATTTTATTTAATACAATTAAGTTAACTATTAACTGCTCCAATACTATTTATTTCAAGTGAGTAATTTTTTTTATATCTATACTATATAAATATATAATTATAAGTAGGTACATACATATAATTATATTAAGATTGATTATATTTTACTCGAACGAATAGGTAACATAAAAACAATTAAATTTCTATACGACATTTTTATTTTAATAATTTTTAATATATATTTCAACGAATGTACATTAGCTCTTTTATATTTATGTAGATATTTGTTATTATCATAATATTCCAACTAAAATCAGCTGACATTGTTTAATAAATTATAAAAAACTATAATATCTGCATAATTTACATAAAAATATCGTTTAACATCGATAAAATTTGTACAGTAGTCAGTTATAATAAATTTTAATAGCAACACAACGTTGAGTGAAGTTTTTCATAGTATACAAATTATATAGAATAGATTCACCATAGTACGAAACTATTCGTAATTTTAACAAACGAGAACATTAAACACTCTTAAGACTATTTCTAACTAATATACGTATTTAATATAATATAATATGTATAGGTTAATACTTAAACATTATTATTTGAAATATTTTCAAAGATATTCCTTCGTTTCAATATAAATATACATTTTTACACTAAAATGTTATAACAAATTTTTAATGTTTTTACATGTATAGATTGAAATCTATGTAAATTATAAATGCACGCTGAATTTATATTATAATAATTGTATAAAATAAAATAATAATATAATTTGAAACTTGTGAAATCGACTTTTATTAAAACTCAAAATAAATTAATGTTATTTTGACTATTAACTCTTTCCTGATCACATTAATATTACATGTCATAATTGATAAAGAACATAAAAATATAAAATGTATGATTCTTTTCAAACATTATTGTATTTAAGGATTTTAAGGCTAAATTGGGGTTTTTCTTGATTGTTATAAATAAATAATTATATCATATATTATTATTTAAATTTACAACAAATAAAAATAAACATAAATAAACAAAGAAATAAGTACTTCCTTTGTCGTTGGGTTGGTTATAATATATTTTAATATTCTTTATTTCACTATACAAAATGTATTGAAACTAAAGAAAACATAATTAATATGTGATAATACCATTATTTAGAATATTCATATTTATGACATAAAAGTTGTAAATTATTTGAAATTTTACATTATATTTTTAACATAGATATAGTATTATATATTAAATAATTAATTTTAAATCATTCATCTGTAGTTTTTAATAATATAATAAATATACCTACTTCAAAATGTTTTTAAACATGGTAATCATATTTCGTTCTAGGCGTGTACTATATTTTTTATAGCATTATGTTGGTCTACCTACTTAAAACCCACCCGTCATTTAGTTTCTTTTTATTATTTACTCCATTAAACTATAATAACAAAGAGAAAGGATAAGTCTATAAATTTAAATTAAATTGATAACAAAAAACAACTATTATTTTAAACGATTTATAATAAGCTATTTACACTGGGATTATCTTTTTTAATTTTAAAGTTTCTCCTGTTATGAAATCATATAAATTTAGGTATACAGATTTGTAATTTTTAACATTTTGATATTAGAACACTAATACCTACATGGATTAATTGAAAATTTTAAATTAAACAATTTAGAAATTTTTTTCTTAAGAGGCTAATTAATAATTATTTGTTTATTAGCTAATATATAATGAACAGGATTTATTTAAACAATGATTTTTTGAATTGCAGTGGATAAAATGACTCAAATTGAGTGGTGGGGGATATAAATTCTGTTAATAATAACAAATATCTTGTTGAATAATATATTATGTGTATATTTTTTGTATTGTATAACTATATAAGTTAAAAAAAATATTTGACATTCATTATAATATTAAATTTACAATGTAGATTTAAAATAAAGTTAATAGGATTTAAATAATATAAAAGGATAACAGTTTGCTCTTAGTTATTATAACAAAAAAGGCTGTCATAATTAAGTGTATTATTTATTTAGTCAAGATTAAAGTTACAAGACAATTTTGATGAAAAATACTGCAATGCATATAATTTTTAAGTAAAATTATTTGTATTTAACATATTAAATAATAAAATAACTTAATATGTTAATAAATCATAGGTATCCCTTTATAGGAAGTATTAAAAGTATTTTTTTTTAAACTAAATTATTGATGTTTATAAAATATACAGTGTTATAGTAGTTATTTACGTAAGAATTTATTAAACATCCATGTATTTAATTATTACAACTCATGGTTTTATTTGATACTAATTATGTTAACCTAAATCTAAATATTTTAACCTTTGATATAACGCTATTATAAATTTTGGAAGTTATGAGAAAACATTTTACTAACATACTCACACTATTTACGGTATTCAGTTCTCCATTAAACGGCTTTGCCCTATAAAGTAGGTAGATAGGTATCATAGCTATCTATACTATGCCAAAATGAACACGTTACTTTGATATTGTTTTCTCAATTGTTGTCAAATACCTTCACTTCTTATAATACAGTGTAATTTAGTTTGATTAAATGCTCATGCATTTTGTATACTAAAATCTTGATTATTAAAATATGCATGTCAATTAATTATCATTAATTAGTTTATTAAAATATCCGTGTACACCATACGACATTCCGATCACTGTAGTAGGTAATAATTTCTCAATTCAAATTTCATGGTTTACTTCTATAATTATATTGGGTATTTGAAGTTTAATGGCTTACATTCCTCCAAAACTCAATGACGCTATAATATTAATTCTATGGTGTTAAACTCTTCAAATGGGTAAATCTGGAATGATGACTTAAAATACCGCATCTCCATTCCAAAGGACACCACAAAATGTTCACAAATTCCTCTCGACCAAATACCATTAACTACTCGGTTACAGAATGACAACTTACCCATAATCATCTTAATTCATGGTACATCATTATACATATACATTATTATTTATTAACATTAAAGAACATGATTTTCTGTATAGATATATTCGAGCATATAGAAATAATATTATTATATTCAGAGGACATATCATAGTCTATAAATTATATTTCTATAACTATTATTTATTAAATTTAAAAACAATATTTTTATAAATTTAATTAAATAAGCTACTTTTAATAAAATAAAACATACATTTAAAATGTTTTAAATTAATTATAAAAGTTTAAAAATTATTTTAATTTAAAGATCATGTAAAAAAATAACTATTATTCTCTGTGAATAAAAAAATTAGTTTTACCCGGTACGGGTTTTTATATCATGTTAGTTGTTACTCATTCACAAATTAAACGAATTACTAATAAATATAGTATTATGTATAATACATTAAATGATATTTGAATTGTGTTGAATAAATTTATTTTAATGATGTAATTAAATTATTATACGAAATGATAATTTTATAAATATTTTAATCGAATATCTCTGTTTATTATTTACATTAATAAAATTATTAGATACATTTTTAAATAATATATTTAAAGTACAAATTACTTTTTAACTTTATGTTGATTAATTTTTTATGTTTTAATTAATATGATTTATTTTTGCGGTTTAAAATTTGTTATTATAATCAATTAAAGTTGTATAATCAATTATAGTTGATAAAGTCGGGGACAACAAAAGCCAGACGAGCATAGCGAATCGAGTATGAGGGAAAGGGATACACGCCCTTGTTGAAAAACTATCCTTGTTAGTTGTTGACAAAGGCACCTGTTTGTCAAATTTTGGAGGGTGATTTATTTAATATTGTATCCTTAGTGTCTGCAATATTTATGAAAATTTTTGTTTAAAACGATTTTATTGTACACAATCCTAAAAATGAGTAAGTCGTGTAATGACGTGGTATATTATCTGACTAGTAAAACGACTACATATTTTTATAAAAATATTGAAATATTAAATTTTAACACTTAATTAACTAAAGAAAGCCATTTAAGTATCACGGTATACTTATAATACATTTTATTTAGGTGCTTAATCGGTTATAAGCCACGCGTGTTCATGCGAATATTCAATTAATTACATATGAAATCCTATCATTTGGTTCGACACAAAAGTTCATATCATTTTTTCGATATCACACTTATACGACATAATACACGTAGTAGGTATCTAGTATTATAATATTATGCATAGAGTGTGCATCCTTATAGTGAGATTTTTCAAACTAATATTTCTAATACGTATTAAATACGCGTAGGTTATATCGTGTCCTGTATAGGCACTACTAGAATTATTTACTGATTATTATGTAATTATGTGTGATACAGTGTATTTTTACGGTTTGATGATGTACACAACGATTTAATCCTTTTGTGAAAACTATCACAATACACGCAATATTATATCATCATCATTAAATAATTACGAAGCGTATGTTAGAAGTCGCTATATTATATCTTTGATGTGCATTTTCATACGGTTTTGATGGATAATCCCATCATTACACAATGCAAATTTGTAAATATATATATATATATATATAATGTATATTATTAATACATAATAACATCATGTGTGTAAATTTTAAGCGCGTAAAAGTTTGTCACACGTGTTATTAAAATAATTATATGTAAGCAACTTTTCGACGTGTCGAGTGCAAAGAATATGCCAGGAATCTGCGTCACCGCATAAACGCACACGCACACAGCTGCTGATCTTGTTTTTACCTCATCACCCTGCCACGGCCCGTCGCCGGTCCATTGTACGTCGTCCTCCACGCACGAGTTTAGTCGTATCTCATATTATTATTATGCGGTCGTAAACTTAAAGGACAAAGTCAAACGGGGTATACGAGCGGTCGTTGGCGGGGGGGGGGGGGGCGTCGAGTGCTGTTGGTGGGCATCGGGGCAGCAAAGTTGTTAATTACTCTTGACGTCCCGCGTGTATATATACACATTGCACAGTATATATACACAAACAGAGCGGCGGCAACAACGACGACGACAACAACAACGACAACAATAATGGAGCTGCCTCGGTGTCCCGGGTTATTATAATGATGTCGTAATAATTTCGTATACAATAATATTATAATATAATATCCTACGTGCCCCCGAGTCCTCGCCGAAAACCTCCTTGCTGAGCCACATGGCGCAGTGGCGCACGACGGTCGAGAGGGTCCTATGAAATATAGGTATAGTAGGTACCTACGTCCTTAGCGTGTAATATACACGGCAGGGTCGTAACAATAATAATTTTCCGTGATGGATTTCCCGAAAGAACCGCGCGCGGTCGTAGTGATCTTCAGTTCTCGCGAGCATCGCGCCGCAAAATGCTTACGACCGCGAATAATAAATCATAAATATACCTGCGTACATAATATACATATGGATGCGTATGAGCACACGATAATTATAATTTTACGAAACGCAGTGATTTTCGGTAGCTTTCGGTGCGTGAAAATCCGCGAAGAATTGATCACAACGGGATCGGGAAATCGTTTTATCGTCGCGAATATTTCCCGAGTGGTGTGGGTGCTTAAAATATCATAATATTGCGTTGTGGCAGTGCATATGGGGTAGCGGATAACGATGACTTTAAATCGACCGACAATTATGTTTCCAGTTGGTTGAACGAGTGGCAAGTTTAAAAAAAAAAAATATGACCCATAAAGCTTACATATATATATTAATTACGATGCGTTTTGTATTGGTTTCTCAGAGGGTGCATCGTTTTTATTTAGACAAAAGTATAATGTTATATATGTATAAAGCCGCGTACGCTCCCTGCAGCTTAACAACAATAATTCCACGGATAGTTTGCTCACCCTTTTTTTTTTTTTTTTGTCAAAGGGTTCACTCAGTGCCCTTTGCAATTTTTTCATATGTGTATATGCGTATTACATATTTTTTAATACATTCCCTATCAACCATAAATCACCAGAGGAGGACCGGTTATTATGCATATTATACATATATGTATGGATATAAATAGTTGCGGTTTTTAATTTTTTTTTTTTTTTTTTCATTCAGCAAGTGTGAATTTATTTATTTGTGACCGAGTCCAGTATGGGTTTGGCAGGACAAATTATTGTTCTAATTATTATGATACATATGTATGTTATTAATGCTTCAGTGATTCGACGTTGAAGAGCAAATTTATTGAATGTTACGAGCGTCAGTGGATTGCCGTCATGCTAATTCGATTGTTATAGATTACAATAATAGTTGTATAATTACACCGAGAGGGTGGGAGCCCATTGTAATAATAATAATGATCAATGTTATAAGTTGAACACGAAATGTTCGCAAAATAAAATCCACGTGCCGTGAATTATGTATGTCTATGATATAGATATAAATAATTGAACACGATTGATAACCGTAATATTGCTATTGTATAACAGGCGCTCGATTCATAATGAAATACAATTATTGTATTATACTTTCAAATGTATTTATTTTCAGTTCGTAATCTACTTGTAATACTAAAAGTAACGGTTTCGTCTTGTTTTTAGTTTATTTATTTCTATTTTGAAATTGCATGCTCAATTTCTCAAAACATACGTTTATATATTTTAATTACCAATATAAATTTAACATAATATTATACAACGATCGTTTTGCCATAATACAAGCACATAAAGTTAATACGCTGTCTAAAAATTTAAATTATAGAGCTAGTGTACATAACAGCAATATGTAATTAACATCCTCTACGCATGACTTAAATTATTTTCATTAATTAAAACTATGTGATTAGGGATGTACATAATTAATTAATTTTCTCGATACAAAATTAATTAATTAATATTTTAACTGAACCTTTACTCTATAAATACCTCTAAAGTATATAGACTAAAAGTTATCCAAGTGATTTGAATATTATAATTTTAAATATAATCACTTGCACCATTTATAATATATAATTTATTGGTTAAAATGTGTAATGTAATTATTTCAATCAGAATTTATTTTATGGTTCATGCAAATTAGCATACACTAATATCAATATACCTAATAAATTATGATTTCCGATTATGAATATATATTTCTGTGATACTTCAAATGATTGTTTCAAAAACACTTATTTACTTTTCAAATCTTGTTTTATGACGTTAGAACAGTTCTTCGTTACTATTGTAAAATTAACTTTGATAATATTTCAAAGAAACTGATCTTAAACATAACTATTTAACGTCAAATAAATAAATTAAAATTATATATTCCTATTGAGATTTTTCTTTGGACTTAAAGAGTTGTATTTTATTAAAGTTGTGAATCGTAGTTTTGAAAAATATTTATACACATTACATATATATAGAGTCATATAGATATGGGTTTGATTAAAATATTGATTTTAATTTTTTTTTTTCAGACAAAATTGAAGGTTCCAGTAAAAAACACGGTTGTTCTGGTAAATCTAAAAGAGTACGAACAATATTCACTCCGGAACAATTAGAAAGGTTAGAGATGGAATTCGAACGTCAACAATACATGGTGGGTCCTGAAAGACTATACTTGGCTCACACTTTACAGCTGACAGAAGCACAAGTGAGTATGAAACTAAAAGTATTGACTAAATATCCAACGTTGATATCATTTAAGGTATTAATGTAGTATATTGTTAAAATTTGGGATTACTCGTTCTACTTTATTTTAATTGTAGTAAGAGTTTTAAGAATTAATGTTCTATTATACATACACACTATGCAAATATCCATTGAAATACATGTAGGTATAAATATTAAAATTCATAAATAATTATAGATGTTTTAAGATAAATCCGACATATATATAATATGATAGGGTGATATTCGGATGAGCTTTTAGTATTTTGAAAACTTTACACAACATTATAGGAACTTTTTAAAGATAAAATATTTACTTGTAATCAAAAATAAACTGTTTTCTACGTATTATTGGTCATAATGTCATATACTTTAAAATGTTTTCATAAAATGCCAATTTTGGACATATATTTTGGTAAATTTATTATTTTTTAAAACAAATAATATAATAAAATTCTATTTGATTTAGGTTAAAGTTTGGTTTCAAAATCGTAGAATAAAATGGCGGAAACAACACCTGGAAATACAACAACAGAGGTTGGCTAATATACACCAACGGAGTACACAGGGAATGGTTCAGGAGTGTGAAGAAGACGAGGATTCGGAAACAGAAACGAATAATTGTTCATATTACTCATAAAACTTTTAAGGAAAATAATATGTAGGTAGTTTCTCATAACTCGTGTGTTTGATATTAAAATGTAGCAAATCCATCCATCGTCATTTTTTAAGAAATACATGAAAATTATTATAATATTATAAAATTTAATTTTTCACAAAAAACGACTGTATTGCTATAAAATCGGGTAAATTAAAAATGGAAATTTTTTTTTTTAGAGAGAATTTTTCCCGTTATTTGTCGTTTTACAAGACATTCATATTAATATGCTTGAATAACTATAGTATTGTACAAAATTATGGAGAATCATCAAAATTGCTTTAAAACTTAAACCAATAAAGATCGAATGGAATTTTGATAATAGAATGAACCTTTATAAATTGATGAAAGTCTATATACACTTAAGCTGGTGTGCATAGGTGCAAATAATGTTTGAAGTTTTGGGGGGGGGGAGAAGGGCTGAAGTCAAAATCCATCCCAAAAATCTTAAAATTATAATATATAACAATATTGACTGACAGACGATAGTCATTAATATTTGGGGGGGGACTATACAGAATTTGGGGGGATTATCCTCCCTAGCCCCCTACTATTTGCGCCTATGCTGGTGTGTTTAATATACTGCAAGATTGTTAATAAATTAGAATTTTAGAATATATTATATAGGTTAGATGTTCCATTATTATTATTGATTAAATATTACCTATGTTGATGAAATGTAAATATATATAATATATATTCTATAATGTTGTAAATAAATAATAAAACGTGTTTAATAAATATTATTAAAAAAAAAAGTTGTATGAAATTTTTATTTTTATTTGCGTTATTGAAAATCAATAATACAATTTAAATATAAACATTAATTGTAATACATTTTTTTTAGTTTTTTGAAAAATTACTTTACCTTTCTTTATTAAAATTTTGATGATAGTTTGGTAAGCAAATCATTACCTTAAATATAATGTATTACATGTTTGTATGTATATAAGTAGTGAAGGGATTAAAACAAATAATTTACGATGAAAATACCATAATTATATGTAAGTTCACACATATTTTTGATAGAAATATATAATTTAATTTCATGTAGGTGACATTTCACGACCATTCAATTCGAGTAGGTACTCATAAACTTATAAATAATTAATATTTAAAATTTAAACAGCTGAATAATATTTATTACTAATTGGGTAAAATTACTTAGAAATACTTAAGTTCAAAGTTTTAAAGAAATGTAAAATTATTTTATATGTATTTATTTGCAAGTAAATTGTTGTGTGTTCAGCTGTTTAAGTATTTTAATGTTATATACAAGAACGGAAATACTAATAAAGATTACACAAAAGTGTAAACAAAAAAAGGTAAGAATGGAAAACCAAAAAAAAAAAAAAGTTAAAAAAGAACTTTAAGGAATGTTTAAAAACCACTGGTAGTACAAGAATTTTGTTTAAAATAGCTTCCAAAAATAAAACAAAACAAAATAAACTTGTGTTTAAAAACGATATCTACTTACTGAATATTATATTAAAAATGTATTTCTAACTAATATAATATTTTATACATTTATACTCGGTGGAACATTTTTTGAGCCGAAAACGATGCAAGCTAAATTTTTATTTTTTTGTTAGTTATAAATTAATAAAATAGTAATCGGCAACAAGATAGTTACCTTATCAGTATTATAATTAAAATAACTTTTATATTTTTTATATCTCCCGATCATTGTACAATTTACAGATAAAATGTGTACGCATATATACCAGTAAGTTCAGTGTGCTTACTCAACTTAACGCAAGATAATAGTAAGTATTATTATAATGGTTTTAAATTTAGATTAGATTTAAATGAATCTAATTAAAAATTTTACATTTTTGAGATTTATTCAATATTTTTCGTTGACGTTTCAATTTTATTATTTAATTTTAGTACTATAGAAAAATTTATAATAATGATATTTCAGTTTTAGTTATTTGTTTATTGAAATTGTTATGTACTAGAAATTGTTCACAGAATATAAAGTTGTTGATAGATTATTATCATTAATTATCTAAAATGAATTATCCATCTAGGGAGATTTTGGTTATTTTATTATTATACTTAAATATAGATAGAGTACCTTTATAAGATATAGTATATTAAGTAGTATATTATGAATCAAAGCAGCAGTAAGTTTGGTTGCCACTGCTAAGTATAAAGCGATTGGGAAGTGTATACAATATATATAATATACATATATTATAATTTATAATTAAATGATATTTTTGATATTATCCTATTATTTTTGAATTTTTCAAAAAAATATAGGTATTAATGTACAATGTACATTGTACATATTATATACCTACATAATATCTTACGATGTTACTTTATCTACGGTCCTTAAAATATAGACTTATCATTGTTTTCAATATTAGATAAATATTATTATAAATAACAAACTGCAGGTATTTGTATATCGTAATGTTTTGCTGAATGATTTAACATTTATTAGAAGTTATTTCAGTAGTGTAAAACGTTACATTTGTAAAGTAAGGCGAGTTACTGGGTGTGTTCCAGTTTATTTAGATAACTCAGAGCACTACGAGAAGACTTACACCCCAAAAATAAATGCTTATCATTTATTTATTTGATTAATTTAACCTACAACTAGTTTTAAAATGTTGGGCGAGCGTTTTAATATTTTAAAATATTCATAATTTAATATTTATATTTTATACTTTTTATTTATTTTTGAGTAATTTTTCAAATTTCAATTCTAAAATGTTCACATAACTGAATATAGAAATTTGTTAAATTTGGTTAGTTTTATACTCACTTTTTTCTCATTATCCGACTTGAATTTTAAATACATACGTAGGTATATAATTAGGAGTTTGAATCAAAATTGTTGTTTCTATGTTAATTTTTTTTTAAATATTTTTAAAAAGATAATATTATTTACGAGTAGTAGATACCTACGTATAGCATATGGATTATAGTGTAAATCCAAACTAACATGATATAATATTATTGATTTCATTTAAGTATACGTATTATTAAGAAAAATATTATGGACACTTTCGGAATATACCAAAATTACCATCAATTTTATCACGGACGCACTTGGGCTATTAAAAAAGTGCGTTATACATAGATAACCGGACACACTTGGGCAACGGCTTAAATAACATAATAAGACTTATTTACTAGAAGCTTTTTTGAAAAATTTTAAGTTAATGGTAATACTATATAATTATAAGTTAAATTTAAAAACTATTGATTATTCTTTCATAGATAATAACAACGACTCATTTTGAAATAATAAAATGAATTATTGTTTCATGTGAAAAAGTTATTTTTGATATTGTCAAGCAAAAATAAACTAAACATTAACATTTTATAATCGTTGTTCTGAAACGTAGATTTTCTTGCGATTTAAAATGTAAAAAAATAGAATTTCCATCATTTACATACTATCCATATCACAGTATTACATATTATGTTAAAAAGAGAAGTGTTGTTGACGTCCAAGACCTTTCATCTACACTATCTACATATATTTTTACATTATTTTAAATTTAAAGTGGAACTTGCTTTTTTTTGATTAAATTGTTATTCCATATTGAATTAATAGTAGTTAAAAATATAACGGAATAATAAGTATGTTAAGAAAAATGAAAATTTCGCACGTTGATTACGCACCCAATTGTGCGTATTAACGTATTCAGTAACAATTTTTTATGAAAAAATAATTGTTATAGTATACAGTAACGAAATGTTGAAGAACTACAATAATAAATCTACATATGCTGTTTAAAATTTCATGAAATTAAAATCGAATTTAATTTTACAAAATATTTTATTATTACCTACATCATCTTATTTTGAACACATATGAAACGGTCGTATTTTACAACTTTATAGTCGAATAATATTTGATAAGCGTGTAGATATGATATATAAATAAATAAGCCCATGTATGTTAAATATTATGCTTATTACTTACCCAGTACAATTCACAGTACAGTAGTCGTGCCGGTGACAAAATAAATGAAAACCCTACAGTATGCGGTTACTATGTACTGAATTCAATATTATTTTATGGTTACAAAACAATATGAATGTTTATAACGCAATAAAAAATTTCACAAGTGTTTACCCTCGGGATCAAAGAGAAAAGTATTGCCGTAGTGTACCTGTAATCGCGTATATTATATAATATAATATATACTGTGTAAGGTATATATTATTATTTTATTATTCGTTAAACTTTAATCATTTCACCGGAAACCATGGTTGTCGTTTGTCTAAATGTAATCTTACCTATGAGTCGCAATAAAAGGCAATTTTGAATTTTATCATTTATATTTATATATTGTTTATATTTAGGTGTATAAAAGTCATGTCTGGAAGGCGTGCAAAACTAAGTGTGCGCGACGGGGTGAAAAGAGGCAATTTTCTCCGTATAACGTTCGCATAAAGAAGACGTTTCGTCGTTTAAGTGGTCGTCTGCGGGAAAAGACCTCGGTTTTTACTTTTTTCTCGTCTTTCTACACGTTCTCATCTGAAGAGGGGACTTTTTTTACTATTTTTCCACGAACGAGTTTTTTTATATACTTTTTTTTATTCTCGGAGAAATACGACTCTTCAAATATTTATATATATATATATGAATATACAGGTATATTATACAATGTTACATAGATTTTTCACGTAGATACAGGATGGTTATTTTGATGCGAATCGAACGATTAGGTTAATCCGATTTTAGATTTATTTTAGTAATTTAAATATTTTCTCCAATATTCATAATATTCACCCATATACAAATTTATACATAATATAGTTTAAACATTTTATATTCCTTGAAGAGTTTTTAAACGATAGCTTTAATTTCATTTAAATATTATACTGTGAAGTATAATATGATTTTCTTTACAAGATTCGTTCTTTAAAACAATATTGATTTTAGAACGACTGGTATATTCAATAAGAATTTATAAAGTTTTTATGTGCGGGGAGTAGAATATCCCATCGACAGTACGGTAGACTACCTACTTTGCGCGTTTAAACTTTGAAAATTATTAACCA